CCCTTTGTACGAACAAAAGTAAGAGAAATTTAGGATAAGAATACGAACATGTTCTTGCATGAGGCCCATTGAAACCAGCTGAACTATTGATCTTTCTGAGAAATAAATCATTACTTCTTTCAAAAGTTAAACTTGGCCTTGGGCGGATTCAAACCTAGCACCTTTGAACTGTCAGAGTCAGTAACTTTAGAYGTGAACATCACAGAGAAAACAGCCTGGATTTCTGCAGAAATAAAAGATCAGATCAGTTTGTAGTTGGGCAGCTGAGGTGGGACTGCAGCGGCGGTGACTCGGGAGAAGTTTGTGATAGAAAATGTGCTCAGTTCTTAATAATAATAATAATAATAAAACTGTTGAAAAATACAACACAAACTCAAATAATTTTCTACTTTTTTACATCCTCAAAAAAGAAAAAAAAACAGACTTGAAAACAAACTTCATTTATCAGCCTTTTTATGTGAATTGTTACATTTTCATTTCTCCAAGTTAATGAAAGTTTAAAGAATGACTTTTTCTGCAAGAAACTGTTTCGAAATAGTGAACAAAGCAATCTAAAACACTTTTTAAATGATAATTTTCACCCACTGCTGACGGCGAGAAGTAATATTACTTTAGTTCACGTCTGTGTGTTTAGGTCTGTAGTTTTAGCAAAATTATTGAAAATCAAAATTCAAGATTACTGAAATTAATCAGTTGATGTGAATCTGCAACCCAAATTAAAGAAAGCTGCTACAGCTTGCATCACAAAAATAGCTATAACTCAGTCAGTTTTACAAATATTAACTTACAATTTGTCATGGTGGTAGCTGAGAGTTATTCTCAACAAATACTCCAAGAGCTGACACATCTATCAAAATMCCTCAACATGAGATTGCATATTGTCATTTGTAAAACTGAATTGGTAAAAATGGTCCAGTTTCATCATACAATGAGAAGGAATGGGTTTAAAACTGGCATGAAAGGTGAAAAAAAAAGCTGGCTCTCTATCAGCTATTTTTGACAGAATCAAAAAACCAAACCAATCAAACAAACAAACAGGATTTATCTGTAATCTCAGCTGCTGCAGATGTTGACCCAAGCACTCATCTTTCAGACTGAACTCAGGTTTGAACAAATAAAACTGGATTTTAGAAGCTAAAAAAAGATGATGGTTTTGAGTAGATTTGGAGCGACAGAACCTTCACAGCAGCAAACTGAGGAAGGTCTGGAGGACATAAAGCGTATAAGCCCCATCCTCAGTCATCTCCAAATTCTGACAGGATCCATCAGAGCAGACTGAGGAAGGATCAGGATGTGAAACACAGTTAAAGTAACTAATATTCAGCACAGAATAAAAAAAAATCAGTGATACGTTCACAAATAAAATGTATAATTCAATATTATGTGTTTCTCAAGCATATATTTAAATACTATACCATAATAAAGTATTTATGTCACCTTTAGCTGTTATTAAACTGCTGTTTTTATGTTTWAATAGAAAATAAACTTATCTTCTCATCACTTCCTCTTCTAAACGCCTTGAAATTGGCCTCTGTCTCTTTAAGAACCACCTTCTGCTTCTGTCTCGCCCATTTTGGGGGCGGGGGCTGCTATGATGCAGTTTAC